GCATATAATATTTGAGACTTGAGATCGCCGAACTCCATACCCACTTACACCCCCCTCGCACACCTCCACCCTATATCCCTACCTATCACGCCACACCCGCCCCCCCTCCGACTGTCTCCCTTCTCCCTCTCTCAATAGCACACTACTCCCTTCCTCGCCCTCAATTCATCACACCATTCTCCCACTCTACCTCTTCCAATTTCTCGTTCGTTCCTTCTCTCAACCCCGTCTCTGTTCCTTGCTCCCCCCCCTTTCTCTGTCTCCTTCTTCTTCTTTTTTAGTGGTCATCGTAACCAGATTCATACCTACAAGACACCCCACACACAACACCCCACCCACACCCAACACCAACAACACCACCACCACCCCACCCCCACAACCCCCACCACCCACACCCCCCCCAACCACACACCACCACAACACAACAAAAAGCCACGACCCCACACCACACCACACCCCAACACACACACCCCCTACCGACCACACCCACAACAACCAACACACCACCAACCACAACACCACCAACCACACCAACACAACCCAACCAACACCAAAACCCAACAACACAACTAACACCCAAACACCCCCCCCCAACCACAACCCCCCACCACCCCCCACCCCCCCCCCACCCCACCACCCCACAACCAACCCCCACCCCCCCACCCCCCAACCCCCCCCCACCCCACCCCCCCCCCCCCCAACCCCCCCCCCCCCCCCCCCCCCCCCCCCCCCCCCCCCCCCCCCCCCCCCCCCCCCCCCCCCCCCCCCCCCCCCCCCCCCCCCCCCCCCCCCCCCCCCCCCCCCCCCCCCCCCCCCCCCCCCCCCCCCCCCCCCCCCCCCCCCCCCCCCCCCCCCCCCCCCCCCCCCCCCCCCCCCCCCCCCCCCCCCCCCCCCCCCCCCCCCCCCCCCCCCCCCCCCCCCCCCCCCCCCCCCCCCCCCCCCCCCCCCCCCCCCCCCCCCCCCCCCCCCCCCCCCCCCCCCCCCCCCCCCCCCCCCCCCCCCCCCCCCCCCCCCCCCCCCCCCCCCCCCCCCCCCCCCCCCCCCCCCCCCCCCCCCCCCCCCCCCCCCCCCCCCCCCCCCCCCCCCCCCCCCCCCCCCCCCCCCCCCCCCCCCCCCCCCCCCCCCCCCCCCCCCCCCCCCCCCCCCCCCCCCCCCCCCCCCCCCCCCCCCCCCCCCCCCCCCCCCCCCCCCCCCCCCCCCCCACCCCCCCCCCCCCCCCCCCCCCCCCCCCCCCCCCCCCCCCCCCCCACCCCCCCCCCCCCCCCCCCCCCCCCACACCCCACCCCCAACCACCCCACCACCCCCCCCCCACACCCCCCCCACCCCCACCCCCACCCCCCCCAAACCAAAAAAACAAACAACCCAACCCCCCACACACCCCACCCCCCACCCACTCACCCCACACAACACACCCCCCCAACCCGCCCAACCCCCCCCCACACCACAAAAACCCCCCCCCACACCCCCACCACACCCCCACCCCCCACACCACCCCACCAACCCCACAAACACACCACACACAACAACAAAACCCACCAAACACCCTACCCCACCCCAACCCCAACCACCCACCCACAACAACCACCCCCAACCCCCCCCACCCCCCCAACCCAAACAAACACACACACACCCACCCCCCAACACCCCCCCACCCCCACCCCCCACCAACCCCCCCCAAACCCCAGTCAATCAAACCATCACAATAAAATTTCTGAAACACATAACACTTTATACATCAAAAACACAATTTAAAAAATTAAAAAATTTATTTAATAAAACTACTAACTAATTAACATTAATATTCAATTATTAATCTTACTTATATCATTTGATTTCTCCTCCCCTCACTCTTGATCCACCCTCATTCTCCCTCCCTATTTCACCCGCTCTCTCAAAATTCTTTTTAGTCCTTTTTCTTTCAACCAACACATAAACCTCTACTCCAATATCTCTTTAGATTTTTTTTTTACATTAATAGAAATATGTTTGATGGATTTTATTTAAAATAGATAATAAATATACGAATCCGGCTCCTCTCACGTCAACCTCTCAGCTCCACTTCAACAGGCCTCCCACTTCGACACAACTCGCATCCACCTGAGGTTCCAATCATGGTCCACAATCCACAGCTACTCAACCGGCCGTCCTCTTCCACACCACCAAAGACGGTCCCGCTCCACGAACGGCCACATCACACATGCCATCTCTCTCTCATCTCTCTATCTCCTCTTCTCTCTCTCCTCTCTCTCTCTCTCTCTCTCTTCTCTCTCTCTTCTCTCTCTCTTCTCTCTCTCTCTCTCTCTCTCTCTCTCTCTCTCTCTTTCATTTTAATCATTCATTATATCATAATGTAATAAAATTAAAATGTAAATTATTAATCACTTAAATAATTGGATGTCATTTTCTTTTTTATTAATTTATGAGTATATGAAATCAGTTATGCCCTTGCCGATAACCTTTTCTCAGAAATAAAATAAACTCTTATCTGCTGCTGAGCTGGACAAGCAGTCGTTTGTGCTGGCTCATTCGTGTTTTGAATACTTATTTATAGATAAAATATTATTAATATCTACATTTATGGGTATCACTGTATTTTTATGTTTTTAATTTACTTATATTTATGTTATTTTATTTTTTTATTGTACATAGTTTTTATTTATTATTATACTTTTTTTTAATTTTTTTTTTGTATATACGGTGTAAATGTGTTCATTTATCAATATAATTAGTGTCCCCGTGACAGAACATTATATGTCTAAATAAATAAATAAATACAAAATATGAACATTACGTTATAGAAAAAATGTTTTATATGTTTTTGGATAAAAAAAATACTACTACTTGACTTTTCTGCAATTTCTAATTTATTTTTCTTCCATTAAGAAGGATGTTAACTGTATGTTTTGTATATTATAAGTAGCAATAATTTCTATATAGATACATATATTATTGGGTTGTCCTGAAAATAATGCGGAAATTTGCAGGAGTTTAAAAAGAAAAAAGAAAGATTTACAACTGTTTTATTTAATCAAAATAGTCTACACTACTTTCGATACTTTTCTATATCGAACAGAAGAGAAATTAAGACCAATTTTGTGGACTTCATCAATATGGACACGGTTTTTATTGAATGAGAAGAAATTGCTCTAAATCTATTCAAGATAATTAAACTATAATACACCATCTTAAAGTAGATGAAATTTTTCTTTATGAAAACTGTGATTAAATTTACTAAGGTCGATTATAAAATGGACTTTCAAGATATGACCGCTGTACTACCAGCTGTTACAGTATCCATCCAAGAGCGGCATATCTCTGTATTCCTTCTTAAAGCGCCTTTTATCATTGACCTTAATAAATTTGATTACTGTTTTCTCTAAGAAAATTGTATCTACTTTACGATGGTGAACTTGGAATTTAATTATTTTGAATAGTTTTGGAGCAATTCCTTATTCAGTAAAAAAAAAACGTGACCACATTAAGGAAGACACAAAATTGGTCCTAACTCCTCTCCCTTTCGGAATCAGCCATTGAATGAACTTTTTTGTTGGAAATTTTGTCTAGAAACACCCCTCAGAGTTTGGCCATTAATAGTGTTGCCCAAAACCGGTCTTGGTCTTGCACTTTGCAAGACCAAGACCAGGACTGGTAAGAAAATTAGATTTTTGAATAACAATTAAGGCAAAACAGTTACTAATACTTGACAATCTTAGTTACTGTATGTAAATAATTGATATAACCCATATACTTCTGCATTCAACTCCTCTAATCTTTCATTTGGGCTTAGTTAGGTTTATCCTATGTAAACAATTACAGTAATATCTCTGTAGTAATAAGCTAATAAGTAACTGCAAGACTCTTGCGCAAGACCAAGACTGAGTTTGCAAGACCAAGATTCGTCTCGCATATGGAGAACACTAGCCATTAAGAACTGATACACCCTGTAAATATATATTTTTTTCTCTTTCTATTTGGATTTTTCAATCTTTTTTTTAAGCAATCATTTGTTACGAAATTTAATAACCTAATAATGTGATGATAAATTTTTGTTCCTCCTTTTTTATTTATTTATTTTTTTTTCAGGTGAGAAGCCTTCGGTTACCGGCACGTAGCCCGATATGTCTTGCTCTGAGGGTGAGTCAACCATAATTAGTTAATCAAAATTAACTTCAACCCTCGATTAAAAGAAAAAAAATTAAAAATTCCATATACATCGTTCTTTCTTACCAATATTGGGGGAGTCATTTTTACATGCTTAGGTAATATTCCTCGATACTTATTTCCTTAGAGAAATGCTTAAAATGCTTTATAATTTATCAAGTTTTTATCCTTTACCTTCCCCCGAATGTTATTATAACAAAAGTTGACTATAATAATGATGTTTTTTTCTATGTTTGATATTCCTTTTGGTTGATCCAAAAGAATCGAAATTTTATAATAAATTTATTAAATACAATAAACAATAGTATATATGTATATATACTACTGTTTATTGTATCTAATAAATTTATTTATATATATATATATATATATATATATATATGTGTGTGTGTGTTGGAGCGGAAGTACTTTCTATTTTTTTTTTTTTTTATATTTTGAATTCATTTCTTTCCTGGAGGCAATCATAATCGTTGAGAGAAAATTGGATTTAGAAGCGAAATAAGCCGGATTTATTGTATTAAATTCATAAATGTTATATATTTCGCAGCCTTGAAGGAAAGGGTTTCGTTTGTGAAACAGACGTTAAATATCGTTTAATTATTTTTGTGTTTTTATGATTTTTTTTTCTAAAATTAAATCAAATTAGGTATATGAAATGTGCAACATGAATGTGTCCTTTTTCTCTGACTCTTTTTCCTTTTTTTTTTTTTTTAATTTCACTTTTGTAATAAAAAAACTTTAAAGAGCTTTATTACATCTGATTTGATAGATAAATTCTGATATATTTTTAATTTCCTTAGCCCCTTCAATAATAAATTATTTTAAAATAATAAGATATTACATTTACTAGTATTTTAAATAATTTTCTATTTTATTGATATCGCCATGATTAATTTCTTCATTGCCATGGCACAACTGCGCGGTTTAACGCATTTGGTACCGCGCTTTATCAGTTGTTCGATATCAATCATTTTCTTATGTATAAAAAGAATATATATTTATCATTTTTTAATATATATTTTTTGTGATAAGTTCATTGATTTTTTTTTTTGGAATATACTTTTGATATTTTTATTTGAATTGGAGTTTTGTAAAGATGCCTAAATGTGATCTATTTTTTTTATTTTTTTTTTTATAAAAATTACTAAAAAATTAAGTTATCGGAATATTATTCTACTTAATACAACATGGCAATCTGTTGAACAAAAACCATCTAATTCTTTAAATTTATACATTGAATTGGGGACATTATATTTAGCGAAAAGTGAATTAATATTCTGATAATAATATTTTATTTATTAGAAATGTTTACATTTTATATTATTTAAATATGTCAACGTATAATTTGTGAATCGGATTTTTAACCAATTACAATAGTATAAATATAAAGACGGTCAAAAATCCAATTTTCT